GAGTTGCAAGGCTGATATAAGATGCATCCGGATATCTCTCTCTTGAATCATGTGCTGATGTCATCAAAATTTCCTATTGATTTTCTGAGACATTTTGAGAAAAGTTTATTCTGTGTTGTTAGCATTGGTATCATTTGTCGAACTTTGTCATTCATCAGGATTCCTCTGGATTAGTCAGATCTGATTGGAACTGCAACTTTTGAATATCTATGTAGTGGACCTACTTGATTATTGATCGAGCTGCTGAAATGCAGCACTCGGGGCCATTCTGCAAATAGGCTGGATCATCTCTGTGCTCATTCTCTCTGCATACTGGTTTGTGTTGGTTAAGCTGAAGTTTGCCTGTAGTCAAGTATAAAAATGTAACTGCATGTAGGGATATCGTTGATTAGAATGTTTCGTATTGATTCTCAAAAGTATTACAATGGATCAATTAACATACTTAGTTATTATATATATGTATAGTTATAAAAGTTCTATCTAGGCCTGTAATTAATCCACTTGTAGCTTAATATGAACTGGGCTAATCTGTTAAATGTTTAAATTTGAATTTTCTGCCTTTTTATTGTCCTTTATAACCATGGTTATTCTATCAAAATGTTGACATTTAGTATCAATATTCATACATCGTATTGGTCGAGTATCAAGGCTGATACTTTGATATTGTGATATACAGTGACATCCCTGACCAAATGTTCACAATTGTTAAGTTGTGTGTGTATATATTTCATGTGTGTGCACTCACATTTTGGGCAGTGAGAACCACCAAAGAAAGATTGCATTAGTTCTTTAAACTAGAAGACTGTGCCTCTGTAGTCTAGTGGATAGAGTGTCTGCTTGCTGAATTGAAGGTATTTGTTTGATCCCTGGCCCTGTCATACCAAAGATGTCAAAAGATGTGTCATTGTCGCCCAACTTGAGGGGATAAGACAAGGAATTATCAGTGATCTGATACAGTGCCTGGGTGAAGTAAGCATGGTGAACTGTAGCATGGCACATCCAGAACTGGAAAACTGGCCAAAGTCCGGAGTACTACAATCTGCCACTCACTCAAGTGCATGCAAGTCAATATATAAATGCAGGGCAATGTGACTTTACCTTCAAATTGGAGTGAGTGAGTTTAGTTTTACGCAGCTTTTAGCAATATTCCAGCAATATCACGGCGGGGGACACCAGAAATGGGATCGGTGAGGTAAACGTAAGAAGATCAATGTTGGAACAGGAGGGGTTGTCCCTATTAGGAGTAGCAAAGGGATTTACCGTCATCTTTTTCAAAACTTTTCATCCTTTCAGCAGTGACTTTTACTGCAACATGATGTCACCTCACCTCAACTTCACATGGGAATCGGTTGTGTTAACGTAACAAGATCAAAGTTTGGAGAGGAGGGGGTTGTGCCTGTCAGGATTAGCAAAGACATTTACCAAACTTTTCATCCTTTCATCAGTGACTTTAACTGCAACAAGTAGTTGGACTGAAAGGCTAATGATTGATCCTGTGATGTTTCTAATAGTTTTTAATAAACTTTTAAAATGCAAATAATTTATGATCTAAGTTAAACATCTTTCCAGCATTTATTCGGATTGAGTTCTGGTGTTTTCTGTTCTGTTGCCAGTGTACAACAGTTTCATAGAGAACAGGGTGCTGGTTTAGCCTTGTGGTAACTGTCACTCCGAAGATGTAGTTGTATAATTAGTCTGTCTCACAGTCCCGAACCACATCATTTTCCCTACTGCCAAGTCCTATCTGCAGCGCTAAAGCCCTAAATGAAGCAAGTCTAGATTTCCTCAGGTTCTCTGGTCTCCTGGGGCTCTTTTTCAATTTAATTAGGCTGATTGTTACTATCAAACTTATATATATTCAGAGACTAAGCATTAGTCTAGTGTATACTGTGCATAGCCAGTTTCATCTGCCTGCATTTTCAGTTTTAATGAATTTAGTTTGACACATTATTACTTGCACTTTATGCAACCTGAAACTGCAAATGCAACCTCAGTGTTAATATTTTGCTGTTCAAAGAACACAGACTACAGCTGGAAAACAGAATGATGTGAAACTAGCTTGAACAGTGACTGGGGTGACTACACGGATTGTGATTTAATTACTTTTACTGTTTTACTGAAATTTTGTGAAGTACGATAAAATGATGACATCAAACCCAGAATAATTTTTTTAGAATGTTGTTCTAAGTAATCAATACCAAAACTGGCAAAAAGTTATTACTTATTGTAGCACTGGTGCAAGTAGGTTACATTTCCATATACATCGCCCAGCATATATGCATTCAACTGAGAGACGAGAAAATCTGTTTTTGTAGAATCATCAGGGATTTATCTAGATCTGCTCAGGGGCCAATAATTGGTCTGCAGCAAATGTCATTTATAGTTTCCATGTCATTTATATGACTAAAAACTAATTCTGTGCCATCATAGAAATAACCTATATTTCTCTGATAACAAAAACAAGAAACAGGAAGATGTTTTTACACTTATTTTCTCTATTGCATTAAATGTAATTTCAGGTAACAATTTTAAAACCATTTTCAATTTTGGAAAATGAGAACTTTGCACACAAAAAACACAAGATTTTGAACAGAATATCATTTTTTTTTTCCCAAAAATTACATGCTAGAGGTCCTTAGTTTTATATCTTATTATCTTCCTAAACAATGTTTGAGATTACATGAATCATGTAATGTCATGGATATTTTAGTGAGGGGAAAAGATTGTTTTATAAATTAAATGCAGAAATTTATATGTGGCCTTGTTAAAAATGGTGATTAACTTGCAGGAAGAAATAATGTACACTGAATATGTCCCCTTCTTATGTATATGAAAGCTGTACATGTGAGTGTTGCCTGACTAATATGACCAAGCCATTGTATAGAATTTCTGCTGATGAACTCAGTCCATCAGGTTTTCATGGTTTCACTAGCTAGAGGCCAGACATTAGCTTGGTGACTAATTAAGTAAATACACTGAGCTGTAGGGACTTGCAGTCTCTCCTGGCAGCTCTTTGGCATCAATGGTGGCTCCATTCAGCTCTTGTCCTAGTGCTTGATACCACATGGATTGGGCTGCACTATCAAAGGATTTGTGACATTAGCAGGTGCTTGCCATGTTTCATGATGTAAGTCTTTGATGTGTGTGTGAGACATGCAGGCGTGTGATGATGATAAGTAATCATGGTAATGGTTAGGGCATGAGGAAAGAATAGGAGGTATTTTAGTGCCCCGGATCAGAGTCTGTGGATGAATTACAGTTGTATATTCATGAAAGGTCTATTTGTGGTGACAGTTTCCGGTGACTGACTCAGACAGGATGGAAACAAGTCTTAAGAAAAATATAACATTTCTAAGACAGCTGGTGTTAATGATTTATGGATATCTGATGTAGTATCATATACACTGATTAGATATTGTTAGTGTGTAGCCTTTACAAACAACATGTCATTTACATTTTGACCTCCTTCAATGTAAATAATAATGTTGACTAATGTTCTGAGTGAGTGAGTGAGTTTACTTTTACACCGCACTCAACAATATTCCAGCTACATGGCGCCGGTCTGTAAAAAATCGAGTCTGGACCAGACAATCCAGTGATCAACAACATGAGCATCGATCTACACAATTGAGATACAATGATATGTGTCAACCAAGTCACCGAGCCTGACCACCTGATCCTGTTAGTTGCCTATTACGATAAGCATGAGTAACTGAAGATCAGTTCTAACCCGGATCTAACAATCTTGATAAGACTAGGTCCCAACACACTTGTCATAAGAGTCAACTGAAACGGACCCAAGCACTTACAAAATGTGATGGAATTTATCTTTCTTCATGATGTCAACCACTGGTTTGCGTGTCCAAGACTCAGTTGCCTACAGTCTGCTGGAATATTGTTGACTGTTGTGCATTATTCATGGGAAAATGGTTTCTTTCTTACCATAGTGAAAACACACACTGCTTTAACAGAACCAACACCTTGGAAATCAGTTGTTCTCAGTTTCTGGGCCGTTTCACGCCATGATTGTCCGCCAGTTTAACAGTCACACTATGAGTGTCATGTCCAACAGTCATAGCTCCATGATGACCCTGTGAAACAGTACCCAGGCCATTGCATGAACTAGGTACTGAGACTGGCATAGGTCAGTGTGGGTGCTACGGTCGTCTAAGTAAGGGTGTTATGGTCGTCTTTCAACCAAGATTGTTCTGTTGAACAAGGCCCTGCCTAAACGTTCTTACAAAAGTAAGACAGGTCACAAATTTGATGCAAAATTCAGATGCTCTCAGATCCACTCATGAATTGCACAATATTGAATATGTACTTTGCATTGTTTTTTGTGGAAGAACATTGTTTAAATGAAGCAGGTAGTTAGGGTTTTTTTCTGCTCTGCATACAGTCTTGTACTACATTCACTGGAGGAAATGAGACATTGATGAATATGGAAGTCATTAACTTGGGGTAATTTGTCTGGCAAGTTCCTGTAAGTGAGCCAAATACTATTAAGAAAGAATGAAAATGAAAATCGATTTCCCCAAGAAGTGGATTTGTTTTGAACAGCTACAACTTTCAATTGACCTAGGGATTTGGGAACACTATACAGATTCTTTACAGTTAGGAAGCATTTAAAATAGAAAGACCTGTAAGCTGAGTCATTGTAGAGGATCATCTGGCTAATCCATGAAATGACTGACTTGTCAGCGTATGTTGTCTCTTCCAGATCTTTACTTTGCTTGTTCTCAGTGCATTTCCGCTGCTGTCTTGTTGTATGTCCATGTGACATGTGACTATGTGTCCATGCTGGTTTGATACAAAATTTATCTCATGTCCATGGTGGTTTGTTACAGGATTTATCTTCATGTCCATGGTGGTTTGATACAAGATTTATCTCATGCCTATGGTGGTTTGATACAAGACTTATCTATTATGCCCATGCTAGTTTGATATGAGATTTATTTTATGTACTTCCAGGTGACCTGAAACATATGTTATCTTTCCAGAATGTGGTGGACTATAACAGGGAATTTTGGCAACATCCTTCCTATTGACTGGTCGAAGACATACACAAGGCAGCTGCACACCAAAGTTCTCAACCTGGGGGAGAAAAGGGTAAGTGTGAGAACATTTTACCAGATAGACAGCTATGTGGCATGGTTACTTCAGTATTGTTGCCAAGTCTAATAAAAATAAATAAATAATAATGAGAAGTCTGATAATGCGCTAATCTCCACGCAACAAAGCATGCTCAAAGCGCTAACACCCTGATTATTATTACCCTGGATAACCCAAGCTGCCTGTTAGGCGCTAGAAGGTTATAGTCACATGACTTTATCCAACCGGGTACCCATTTTCTGCTGGGTGAACAGAGGCAATTTTGAACAATCTCACTTGCCAAAGGTGAGACCACATGTATCACACATGCTTCGTTGTGGGGCAGGACTGAAGTCCTAGAAACTCTCAGGAGTCAAGTTTTCAAACACGGTCACCCATGCAAGGACTGCCCAAGCTCGCTGTTGCTTAACTTCATCTGATTCGTGACCTGCTCTCTGTGCACAGGACCAGATGCCACCAAGTCTGATGCTTTTGACATTAGAACCTATATTCATAATGCTTGTATTGTTCTTCTTTTCTCACATGAGTACTATTTCAGTTTCTATAAGTGTTTTGTGGGCAAATTTGACCTGGGAGGAAAGTAGGTATTGTAGATTAGTAGTTTCTGGGTAGATTTAATGTCCTCTGGAAATAATACTGATAAGTGTTAAACAGTGGCAAATGTCTATGTCCTGTGCCATATTGGCTCTTTTATCAGTACACTGACATGCTGTGAAAAAAATTAAACACTGAGAGAGGCATTATACTCGCTCACTTCACTGATCATTGATCTACAGAACTATTCTGAGGCCTTGATTCAAAGAGTTCACAGAAATAGTCCATGTAGAATGTTTACCTGGTTTTGTATGGACACCTCAGGGAAGGATCTGGCCTTTATTCTACACCCTGGAGATAGAAAATGATAATCCAAGATGAAAATAAGATGATCTGAGCACCAGAATGAAATGATTCAAGGCACCTTCTCCTCAGAAAATAATTGCCACCATTCTGGCTGATGGAGGTATGCAGTGATTGTTGACGATAACAAATACAATGATCTTTTCACAAGTGTGGTAATTCCAGGCACCAGCTCCTCACTGCATTATGGCCACCTTCTGGTGGACACTCAAAGATTGTGGGGGATACTGAAATAAGATGATTCTACCTCACGAGAGCAGTATTTCTAGCCATGCCCTCTTTTAAGTAGTCATTGCCACCATTATAGCCTAAAGAGATGCCCGGAGACCTTCCTCCAGAGACCAAGGTACATGTAAATATGAAGAGTAGACTGGAGGCCTTCCACTGGAGGCTGTTGTACATGTCTGTTCACATGACAGTCTTACCGGACGTCCTCCTTAATGGAAGTGTTCACCTCTGGTATTTGGTCTCTTTTCCTCCCATTATCAGCTGCTAGTGCCGAGATCTTTCTCATGTATCAACTGATTCTCAGAGAAGTCGCCCATTCTAAGGAATAGCTTCCTTTTAATGGTAGTCGTTTTTACTTTCCACTTGAGACTTCCGTTTACAGCTTTGCGTATTGCCAGTCAAATGTGTATGCATGTGTCGCAGTGTGTTGGTATCAGCTGAATGTTACGAAGGAAGCGTGTAAGTGTGATATGTTCCAGTTGTACGTGTTTATCAGTGGTTGCGAGCTCTCACCAAACTGTCTTTTTGGTATTTTTCAGAAATCATTAATGCCATTTTATATCAATTTCAATTTGGGTTGCACAAAATTATCGATCCTGAGTTCAGCAATGTTCTAGTCAAAGGGTTAGCATGTAAGAGGGCCATCAATAACATGCTCAGTCAGTGTCAACGCATTAATTGATGATGTATTGTAGAGAGATATTTCAACAGGCACTCCACAGCCATTTTGTCCATTAACTTGTGTACATTAAGTGAAATCTCTTCTTGCTAGATATATTTTTGGACATTCCTATTTCAGGAGAGATATTTCGAATTTTGTAACTACCAGCAAGGAACATGTATCAAAGAGTCTGTTCTAGATGGCTATTGATTCTGCTGATCTTTCTCAAAACATGTAATTTCTGGCGAATACCCTGAACTCGGATCACATCAATGCTGTAAATTCTGAATTGTGGCTGTCATCAAACTATAAAAATCTTCGGCTGTATGACTGAATTCTTCTTCACTGTCAGCTACCCATAATTAGTTGTGTGGGCAATAGTGTCCTGCCCAGCACTATTGGTGCATCTCCAAACATGTTACTGCATGATGTTGATTCTTTTGGTTTCACTTGCATTGATTCCACTTGAGACTTTTGGCAGAATATTTTCCTTATGTATACGACAATATCTTTGAAATGAATTAACACATTGCAATATATTTTTCAATGTTTGAGCGTATTTGGTTAAAGATATATAGTAAGTTTAGCCATTTATTTTATTGTTTGACTAAAAGTTTGATAGAAAAAAGGGTAGAAGTTTTTCTTTCACACTGTCATTTCCGATCTAACCGTTACTTGAAACAGATGGCTCTTGATGTTGTTGGAAACAAGAGGTGGGATGACAGGGAGTTTGGCAACTTGGACCTGAAAGCTGTGAAAATCACTGAATATATTTCAATAGGAATCACAATACAGATACCTGTATCTCAATACATTGCAGTACAGTTCAACAAACCAACAAAATACCTTGAAATAGGGGCAGAGAGACTGCTGCATGTTTGTCTGTTGTTCGACACTGCACTTGTGAATATTCCACCTGTATGTCATCCAGCCCCTAACTAATCAAGTCTGAGCTAAACAGTTAAGTTGTTGATAGAATAAACAAAGACATGCGATCAACCAGATCACCGGGTCTGATGACCCATTACAGTTTGTTGCCTCTTTGAACAAGGATAGGTTGCTGGGGACTAGTCTAATGAATTCCCACCTGTGGAATATCTTGATCACCAGCGTAGATCCACTCTTTGCTCTGATTCTGGCTGAAAGGGACTTTCAACCACTAGTTTGTGTGGTCCAAATTCCAGCTGTGATGAAATCGCTAATAATCTTGATCATAACCATTATGCCCTAATGGACATCACTAGGGTGGTGCATTATAACTCATACAAGCCTAGACTGTCAATATTGTTTGTGTATAGGTATCTTTTCAACCCATGCTTGTTGGCTGGTCAGTCTTCTTGACTGGGTTAATGCATGTCTTTGTATCCCAACTGCTTTAAATGTTGTACATGAAGTCAGTCACTGGATTGTCCTGTCCAGATTTGATTATTTACAGACTGCAGGCAGAATATACGTCTGGGCCTTGATTTTTTAAGCTCTCTTACCACTAAGATAGTCTTAAGTGCTATACATTAACATTAACTTACGACTATCTTAGCGCTCAGAAAATCTAGGCCCTGGAATATTGCTAAACATTGCATTAAACAAAAATTACAAAGGTCTTTATTGCTGGATTCCATGTTTGAAAATTGACATGAAAGTTGAAGAGTCAATGTCATAACTTACATTGTATGCCAAGTTCAGTTATATGTTCAGGTCCTCATATGGATAGTATACTTCTGACCACAAAGACAAGTACAGCAATGTTTGAACAACTGTTCTAAACCAGCTAATCCAGCTCAAATCTCATCCATACTCTGTTGCCTGACATGTCGTAATTGGGTTTGAAATTACAAGTCTAAATGAGGAAACTCATTCCATAGCATGTTTCAGTGTAGTTTTTATATAAAATTACTTAAATTCTCTTCTGTATTTGAGACTAATTAGATATCACCTAAATGCCAATTTGAAATTTTATCTGTTCTAATTACCGTGTTCAGATGCTCGGACACCAAAGCCGATGATTACCTAAATAACTACAAATACACCTTGCATGTTGGGAGACATATAATTCGGGCAGTAATCCTCCCTTGAGATGCATGATTATATGACACATTGTCTGCCTCTGAGAAGGCTCCCAGGTCTTTGATTATCATAATGGATGTGGATAGTATCAACGTGATACCTCTGGGTGGACCAGCTCACTGCATGGCTGTTGACATTCATCTGTTGCTGATAATTATTGCCTCTAGGGTAAACGCTGTCGCAGGATGGGCAGTGATGGCATTTGTGCCAAATGTCGGCAAGCAAACATTAGCTTAAGTGAAACTGATTCATCCCGACATGTTTTGCTCCATGGTTTTTGTATTGGGAATGGTGTAAACCTGTGAAATTGTTTGATATAATATCTTTATTAAAAGATAAGTAAACTTATTAAAAGATTAGTTAACACTATTTTGTGGAAGCTGCTGATTGGGTTGGATCACTGAGTTTGTGTGTTGTCATTAGGGGCCTCACTCTGAGGGTGTGGGTTTGAATCCCCAATGGGACTAAAAAGAAAAGGGCAGTACTAGAATCTGTACCTAACTGAAAAATATAGCATATTGGTTTGTATACACCTATAAAAAAGTTGAAGAAAGCCTGATTGTTTTATATGACTATTTTAAATGACATTACAGATTAGCTGTAGTAGCATCAGGTGCTCTTTACACCTTTTGAGTAGTATGTATTTAGATTCTGTGAGTAGTATGTATTGAGATTCTGTGAGTAGTATGTATTGAGATTCTGTGAGTAGTATGTATTGAGATTCTGTGAGTAGTATGTATTGAGATTCTGTGAGTAGTATGTATTGAGATTCTGTGAGCTAGAATTCTAACATGGGGATACAGAGAATGATCTTTGTTCATGCTACCAACTAGGTTGGTCGGTTGTTTAATGCCACATTTGGTTGGTTTAACGCCACACTCAGCAATATTCAAGTTTTATTGTGGCGGTTTGTAAATAATCGAGTCTGGACCAGACAATCCGATGATCAACAGCATGAGTATCAATCTACACACTTGGGATACGATGACATGTGCCAACCAAGTCAGTGAGTCTGACCACCAGATCCCGTTAGTTGCGACAAGCATCGGTTGTTGAAGACTGATTCTAACCTGGATCTTCACAACTACTATCAACTAGGACTGTGTATTGGCAAATAAATTATATTCAATATATTGTGATTCAGATA